GGGCCTACCTGGAAGGTCTTGTAATGGTTACCACATACTCGTAAATAGTTAAGGTACAGTATATATAGGTACAGTAGTAGTTAGTGTGCCCAGTTTTAAATCTGAGGGTTTAAGCTCTACACTTTGGGGCCCCCAGTAGTACAGCGGTATGACTTCAGACTTACAACACTAGAAACCGGGTTTCGATACCCGTAGTAGGCAGAGTACAGATAGCCCGCTGTGTAGCTCTGTGCTTAATTAGAAACAAACAAAATCCTACACTTTGGGTACATGGGTGTGGTATAAGAGTAGTGTTCAAATCCCATTATTCAATCGGTCAAGATTTGGCGGTGGGATTTGTTGACTAACTCCCTTCTAGTCTAACAGTTCAAAATTAGGGACATCTATGTATAGATAGACCTTGAATAGCAGCTATTCGCAAAAACTACTAAATAAACCAACAATAATGTTTACTCCTTTAATTTAAAAACGTTTAAGATATCAACACCTCACTTGTAACAGTACCAATACTTATTTCATGATTTAAAAATAACTATTTAAATAAAAGTATCGCTTTAATACGTTTATTTTAGGTTCCAATATGGTACAGTGATATGTTTGTAACTGTGTGTTTATAAATTTCATTGATGATAAAAATACGAACCAGCACTTAATAGAAGAACGTTCTAGAAATTCTGATCAAGTTAAACTTTACAAACGATTAGATTCATTAGCTAACAGAAACAAGAGGGAATCCTCAGTAGCCGCGGTACTTGAAATTCTTTAGGCAAAATTAGAGTAAATTAATCTATGAGACCTTTTTTTTCCCTTTTTATTGGCTATATTTTTGTGCGCCAGCAAAACCAAGCGTGGAGCACGTGTATACCCGATTCGATTTTATTGCTCATCACGATCTCTACCAGTCTACCCTTAAATTGAAATTATTTTAGACAGGATTAAGGTAAATTAATCTATAAGACCTTGGACGTGGTCGAATACACTAATCGAAAGGGTTTGACGGCCCGAGTCCAAAACTAAAATCAGATCTCAAATCAGTCAAGAGATGACGGAGCTATGAGATAAAAGTTTGTACTTAAGAAATCAAACCAAAAAATAACTCAGAGCCATTTAAAAGGGCAAATATTTTTGAAGTTTAAGTTAATATCATTGTCAATAGACGAAACACAAAAGAAGTTTAATATCAAAGTAGGAAATCCTTTTAATTTTCTAAAAAAAAACATTTGAAGATGCTATGTATATGAATTTTGCAGATTCTACCTTGAGGATTTTCAACATTTTGTTGTATTTATGTATGTAATAAATATTGTTGCGTCAGCGAGGTCACGTGACTAGTGTCACGCGACTTCTCTCGAACCTTCGTGAATTGTCGGGAGATTACTAGATATAGGGTAGTCTGGTATATATAAATGGTCACAACATGACGGCATCAGTGTGTGAATGTGTGTGTAAGTAGTGAGTAATTGAACTGCAGTCAGAAAGTATTGTTGAAGTTAACGTTCGTTGTTAAAACGTTTGTTTTAGAGCGACTGTTGAAAATAAGTGTATCGGTAAAGTTATATTCAGAAAGAATAAACCAGTTTTATTAAATAAGGACTTGTGTCGCTAAAGTTTTGTCTGAACGAAGTTACGGAAAATCAATTAACGACTGGAGGCGTAACAATATTCTTTGTATTATGGAAAGTT